CGAATGCAAAACTCCCCCCCCCCTGTTCCTTCGACATCACGAGAATAATAAATAAAAAAAAAAAAACCTGTTAGAAAAATTAAAAGAATAAATTTTAATTAATTAATTAATTTGATTGATTGATTGATTGATTGATAAGATAAATAAGGAGGCCGTAGTTTCCGTGAATATCCCACACGATTCGTTAATAATAATAATAATTAAAAAAAAATAAATTATATTTTTGCCGTTTTGATTTATTATTATTATTATTACCATTATTACTATTAACTGTTAAGCATTTTATTTTATAATAATTGCGTGCGTGTGCGTGTGTGCGTGTGTGCGTGCACACACTCTTTTGTTAATTTTTTTTTTTTTTTTTTTCTTTTTTAAGAGTAAATATAATAAATTTTATTTATTAGTAAATTTTTTATAATTTATTTGACCTCGATCGAAGGAAAAGCGCGTAGACAAAATTAATTAAATAAATTTTATGAAGAATTTCGTCATTATTTAATTAATAATAATAATAATAATTTTTTTAAAAATAAAATCATATGTAAAGTTAATGAATAAATAAAGAAATTCGTTCATCATCATATTATTAATATTATTATTATTATTGTTGTTGTTGTTCTTAAAACGTAAAAGCTAAATAAAATTTTAAATAATGTTAATTAGTTTTTTTTAAAATTTTATTTTAATGAATTTTAAAATAACGATCGATATATTTGAATGATTTAAAATGGCACTAAAAGTATTAAAATTTAATATCGATTAAAAATAATAATAATATTCATAATAATAATGATATTAAAGAGATTTTTTTTTTCTTCAAATGTCATATTTTTGACGAGATCTGACGGATTTTACAATATCAATTTATGGTCATCAATTTTTTTTTTTTTTATTACATATTTTAATAATTTTATTCGCCTCCATACTTTTGACTTAATTTAATATTTAAATTTTTTTTTTTTTAATAATTTCCTCGTTAAAAATCTCTCGAGATTTTTTAAAGTTTAAAAAAATTCAATTTCGATTTCGTTTAAAAGAAGGATTTGTATGAGAAGTTGCATAATTGACATTTTTAAGGCGTTTACCGTAAATAAAT